GGGTGGCGGGGCCTGAGGCAGAACAGGGATCAAGCACACCCAGGGAAATCAGAAAGTCAGCACCTCTGCAACAGCCGCCCACACCCAACCCCTATGGTCAGAGGCCTCCCCTCCCCGCTGGACCCGCTATGCCCTGCGCCTCCCTCAGATCCCCCCCACAAATGTACAGCACCCTACACAACACCACCCCTGCCCAGCACCTCCCAACCCACAGCTCCACCACAACTGCCCAGCACCCCACACGGAACCCCACTCCCTAGTGCCCCAACACACACAGCTCTTCCCTGCCCCCTCACAACCCAGCACCCCCCCCCCCAGGCCACACAGAGACCCACTCTCCCATGCCTTGCCTCCCAGCCACACTCACCCATCCTGCTGGGAGGTGACTATATCTGCCAGGCTGAGCCAGCAGCACAACCAGGGGTGGTCATTGCTCCGGCCCCTCGGGAGTAGCGCGATTGGGCTCCACTTGCCTGGAGGGGCCCAGCCACGCTTCCACACTGTCTCCCCCCAACTGGCCAAGACTGGCCAGGCTTCTGCACCAGTCCCAGGCAGCTCAGCTCTGGAAAGGCAGGCGGGGCCCCACAGGGGGTGGGAAGCAGACACTGTCTGGAACCAGAGGTGCACGGGGGTCCGGCCAGGGGGCAGAGAGGAACCCTCGGATGGGGGCAGAGAGGAGCAAGTGGTGGTGCGGGGGAGCCAGCGGGCTGGCGGGGTCATAGGGAACAATACAAGCAGAGCAGGCTGGGCTTTTTGCTCTTCTGAGCATGGGTCCGGCTCCATGGCACCACTGACGCCATTGTAAACCCAGAACTGAAGAGGGCGCAGTGCGCAGGGTTTGGATTCCCACCCGACCTGCCAGAGCCAGCTGAGCAGACAAGCAGCAGCGCTGGAGAGGGGGCTGGGAGGAAGACCCGAGCTGCAGGGGGCAGTTGGACAACCAGCCCTCTGAGCCAGATGACTCCTCCGGAGCAGGGATGCCCCTCCTTCCCCCTGCTCCACCTGTGCAGCTGCTGCTGTCCCTGCCCCAAATTTCCTGGTGCCCTACGCAGCTGCGTACTTTGCATATGGGGAAGGATGGCCCTGCTCTGAAGGAGGCCACTCCGCCTCGCTACACCATCTAGTAACTGATAGCCAATGGACACGTTTAGCAGGGTAAGTGTCAGCAAAGAGTCTAGGGCCCTGGCCCATTGCGGCAGAGCAGGGCAATTAGTCTTTGTCATGAACATACAGCTAAGGGTAGCATAAAATCCCTCCTTTACCTGTAAAGGGTTTAGAAGCTCAAATAACCTGGTTGGCACTTGACAAAAAGGACCAATAAGGGGAGAAGATACTTTCAAATCTGTGGGGCAAGGTTTTTGTTTTATGCTTTCTTTGTTGTTCTCTCTGGGACAGAGAGGGACCAGGACAGGAAAAATACATTTCCTAAAGCCATATCTGAAATAAGCATCTAAGATTACAAATGGTAAGTAATAGCAAGGAAATGCGTTAGGTTATCTTTTGTTTTAGCTTGTGAATTTTCCCTATGCTAAGAGAGAGGTTTATTCCTGTTTTTTGTAACTTTTTAAAGTTTTGCCTACAGGGGAATCCTCTGTGTTTTAACTCTTACTACCCTGTAAAATTATCTTCCATCCTGATTTTACAGAGTGCTTCTTTTACTTCTTCTTTATAATAAAGTTCTGTGCTCACATTGTTTACCTATTTGGTTGGTATATTATTCTCCAGCCTCCCCAGGAAAGGGATTGAAGGGACTTGGGGGGATATTTTGGAGAAACGGGAACTCCAAGTGGTCCCTTTCCTGAATCTTTGTCTAACTCATTTGGTGGTGGCAGCATACCGTCCAAGGACAAGGAAGAATTTGTGCCTTGGGGAAGTTTTTAACCTAAGCTGCTAGAAATAAGCTTAGGGGGTCTTTCATGCGGGTCCCCACATCTGTATCCTAGAGTTCAGAGTGGGGAGGGAACACTGACAGTCTTCAACCCAGCTCCTGGGATGGAGCAGACAGCAAACAGTCAGGCTCAAGCCCTCTGGATATGACCGTGCAGTAGCCATCTCTGGCCCAGCTTCATGGCTGGGGCAGATATCAAGCAAATGCAGGGCATCCAGCCTAAGGTGGGTAGGCTGCCACCTTAGGGGTGGCGTTGGCAGCAGGAGGTAGGGGTCCACCCTACTCCACCAGATCCCAGCCCAGGACCTTAACAGTGGTGCAGAATCCCACCACTGAGTCAGCAGGGATCCTACCGAAACATACAAACTGTGGTTTCAGCAACACAACAAGATTAATGTCTGGTTTCCCTGGGCTACTTCCTACCCCTGTCTGTAGGGCTCTGTTGCTCATGGGTTCTCAGACTCCTCGGGGTGCCTGGCAGCCGGCAGTTCCAGCAGCTCCTTGGGGTACTTAGCAGATGGCAGTTCCTTCCCTCAGGGTCCTCCTCCAGGGGCGGGGTCGGTACAGCTCAGTCTCTGGTGCAGGGGCCAGCAGCAAGGCAGAGGTGGCAAGCTCCTGCTTTGGCTCAACTGAGCTGGAAACCCCTCCTCTTATACTTTCTGTTCCACACCTTCACTTCTGGCATGAGGGACAGGCCCGGCCTGGCTCTGCCCACCAGAGAGCGGAGAATGGTTCCTCCTTGTCAGTCTCAGAGGGAGGCCACTCCGTCTTGCTACAGGCACTGAAACACCCATCTACCTTTGAACCAATTATCTGGTTCATGCATTTAGAAATTAATCCACAGAGAGTAATGTAAGGCCTTTCCTAGTGCAGAAGTTCCCTCCTCTGTTAGAAGGTGTAAGATTTACTAACAAAGCTCACAAAATTAAAACTACTGAGAGGTGGTATCATATGTGGCCTTTAACCCTTAACACCCCTTTGTGGCAAGATGGGAAGCTACACCAGCTGACACCATCCCCCTTATGCCATCACACTCAAGTGTTCGTCTTCCAGCCCTCTGCATAAGTTCTTAATAGTCTCTGTCCCCTTCAAGATAATGGGGAGTTGGAAGTTCCATGGTTCTAGTGGTGGCTAAACAGCCCTAGGTCTTCTGGGTTTAGAGCGTTCTTCTTCAAAGTCCTTCTTCAAAGTCCACTTCATTGGGTTCCAGCTCAGGCTCTCTGTTTGGAACAGCCACAACCAATCCTTCTCTGTCCCTGGCCACTCCTTCAGCTACGTCTCCTCCTCTGTAGGCTTCCCAAGCCTCTCGCTCTTCTTCTCCCTCTTTGGAGTGTTGCTTCTCAGGCAGTTTCTCACCAGTCTGTTGGAGGGATCCTCTTTCCAGAAACTGCCTTTCTCCTCAGGAGTTCCTCCTTTGAGGTCCTTAACCTTTTATCATGCCTAGGTGCTTCCCTGTCTAATTAACTACCTCCAGTCAGTTAACTACTCCCAGGTCAACCTGAGCTACCCCATTCTCCCTGGTGGAACCTGTCATAGATAGGCTGGTCCTTTGACCAGTTTAGAGGGCCAACCAACCTCAGCCAGGCATCATTAATCAGAGTTCATGGGTCTTTAGATGCCTGAATTAACTGAGTAATGAATCATTTCCCTGATTCCACACACTAAACTACTGATGTGTATGGATTCCAATTTATTTTTAGAGGAATAAATATTATTAATACTGTCTTCATTTTAAAATGTTTTTAAAATAGCTTACCTTGGTACATAGTTGCATACAAAATGTGCCGCATCTCTTATTCCTGCAGCTATACGACAAAAAACAACAGCACAGCCCACCTTATGAGAATTATCCCAAACAACCTAGAAGAAATAAGATTTTTTTCTTTTACGAAATAAAGCTTAAACTGTGCTCACTGTGAACTATTCTAATAGGCAGGAGAATCTCAGTTCTCATGAGAGTTCTTCGATTTATTTGCTTTGTACAGCCACCTGTTACAGTACCCAGAAAAATAAAAATTACTTACCAGTTACTGGATTTCTTCAGGATGAGCTTCTGCACATTTGCACTTGTTGGATCAAGGAATGTGTACCAGAAGTTTCCAGAAACTTTTACGCAGCAGTGTCAGTTGGTCACTCACTCTCTGTTTCCCCCGCCCCTTATGTAGAATTCCCACAGTAAAAAGGGGGAAGTGGTCCCAACTACTCCTCAATTCCTTCCACTAATTTTAGGAATTCTTAATCCAAGACTCCAGGAAAGTGGATAAGATGTGTAAATGTACACAAGCTGATCTTCAAAAACTCGTTACTGGTAAATAACCATTTCTTCTTCAAATGACCTTTGCACATTCCCACTTACGGGAGTTTAGCGAGTAGTACAACCACTGGGAATGCAAGTTGAGAAGTTCTAGGTGACAAAGA